TCGTCTACAATGAGGTCTTATAAACTATCAATGCTTGAGGTGTAATGTTATGTGAAGGAGGTTGTTGTTGTAAATTTCTAACAATTAGGCCTTAGCTGTCACTTCAAGTGAGTAAATTGTAAATTTCGTGTAATCATAATTGAATTTATTGTAGTAGCACTTTTCGCTGACGTAGGCCTTCTTAACCATTGATACGACTACCCGTCCCTTACTCCTCCCTCCGTCCTCAAAGTTCTTTGCAACAAAGAAAACTGCACGGAATGGCCTGCCTTACATTTTTGGCAGGAACTATTACATCAGTCCTTGTTTTTGTATCCTATTCTCCACAAGAGGTAGTGTAAGAGAACAGAAGCTCGAACCTTCATTAGGGCAGATATATAATACAGGAACAGTTTATAGCTGTGCGGTATTTATAAGCAACAGCAAGCATCTTAAAGAATCTTTTAACTTGCATCTATACGAGATGGAGATGAAGAAAATGCGATACGCTTTTGTGGCGCCTTTTTTCGCCAGCATAACAAGAATTTGACAAACTCTGCTCGTACTTCGCCACTCAAAAACGTGATACTGTAGGAATTCATCGATACAATAAGAAATAGAAGAAGAGCGTACTGAAAAAACAAATTGGAAGAATACACAAAATTTATGAAGTTTTCCATTGTTTTGGAGAATTGTACAGAATAACTCACATTTCCATTAATATATTGGAAAACTGGGTTGCTACTACTTTTGAAGCCGAATAGATCAGCAGTTTCATAGATGCAATCAACCGCACCAAGGAGGCAATCGATGGCTACAAAAACTACCAATCCCTAAAAGGTAAGATCAGCACGAAAGAAAACGATGTTACAAGCCCTAAGCGAGTTCTTACTGTTTCTTTCCAAAACTTTTGAGCCTTTATATAAGCAAGCTTTGTGATAGCATACATAGTCTTTATGATAAAAAAGACACTTAGTACTTCGTAAATGATAACAACGGTACAACTCATAACACGGATGACCTGTAACGAAACATTGGAACTCTGATTTTATTCAGATTTCATAAGAATCTCTCAATGTGAGCATAAGAACCACATTCAATAACTTTGAGGCAAGCTCTGTAATTAGAGCAAGCCTTATATGAAAATAGACCTTGAGATTTTGAGCTGAAAACAATATCGAACTCACTGGGATTGGATTACTGCGTCCAATGTTAAACCATCTACCATCTCT